TTAATTTGTCGAGACTGCTGCTGAGAAATTTATAGGAATCGATGAAACGCAATTTTACAATATTTTTATATTTATCTGCTGTATCTTGGACGTTTTTTTGTAAAGGAAATGTATTTTTCTTTTGTTATCGGTAGTACATTGATTGACCCCTCAAATGCGTTAGCTATTTCTTTGATAATAAAATGAGAATCATAACCAGATAAATTGTGAAAAACTATTGGAATATGATATGAATTTTTGTAATTTAAATTACAGTTTGAGTGCGCGGGACCTCTATACCGTCCGGTGAAGTGACAATGATCGCGTACGCGTGTATCTTTTGTCGCAAATGGCTTCTCGCACACGTGACATTGCGTCGCGTTACGAAATGCCGCCCACTGTTCCTTCGATAAAGTTTCCATATCGACATTGGTTGATAACTTTTCTTTTACACGGTGTGCTAACTTTTCTAGTTGCTCGACGAACCACGAAATACAATCCGTATCGCGACGGCACCGAAAATATGATACCGAATCGTCGTACGAGCAACGCAAGTAATATGCTATACTAAATACTTTGTGATGCTGATACGCGTGCGATGTACATCCCTCCTCTTCCTTCTCACTTACCGTCTTCTCCAGTGTGCACTCTAGGTCGGCATACACCACAAAGGGAACTCGCTCCTTCCTGCTGTGATTGCTAAAACTCAACCATTTATTGTCTTCGCTGGGTAGCAGGATGGCACAGTCGTTTAATTTTTCGCAGTCTACCGCGTGACTCTCTAACTTCTCGTTGGAGTAGAAATAGTGCAGGCATCTATAAAAAAAAACATTGCAATTTACTATCGTTTCATACTTCCGATACATTGAATTCATGAAATGTACTTACCGATCGCAAATGTATTTTCTGACTTTTTTCTTGCTCAATTGAGAACTTATGAGCCTGGATAAGTCCTTGATCCAGGCGAAGTGTCCCGTGTAGCGGTCTCGAGGTTCCGAAATGCGCAGCAAGTTCACATGCTTTTCCCTCTTTCCGTCGCTAAGACGTACCGGAACAATGGATTCGTTCTTTTCTCCCATGATGCTGTATACATTGATGGATATATCGTTTAATCGTTCAAATCTTGTAATTTGATTAATTTTCATGGGGAACTCAATGTCTTGAATATTGAGTACGTTCGTGTAATGAGGATACGATGATGCGCGATCTGCGTGTCTTTCGGCTGGATACAGAGCCGCAACTATTGCCCACACAAAACATGCATTGTTCGGAGATTTGACATTAATCACAGCCCGTTTCAGCTGTATCATTCGCGGTAACTCGAGGTGACATCCCGCGTGCAACGGATTGCATTTGTTCACATTGATTGTAAGATAGAGTATTCGCGATAATGCT